ATAACCCCCTGGGTATATCACAGTCCAACTACAATTTATTGTCCCAGGTGTAAGCAGGTTTAAAGTATTATCAAATAATAGAATTTTTTTTTAATCCCAAGGATCTAACGTAAATGTGTATTTTACTAGACACGTATATAGCTATTCAGTTTCTAATTCATTTCCCCATTTGCCATTAAACTTTAGTCAGCCATGCGTTTTTCAATAATAGCGATCAATATCCCTTTGAGGAAGACAAGTCAGTAGTGATACATGTATTTCTGCCTCCAGCATAGGACTGTGTTCTCTACCTTGATGGTTTCTGTAAGAGAAAAGCACACAGCATGGCAGTGAAGTAAGCATGGCTATGACATGACTGGGGAGTCAGCTTCGCAGAGCCAAAAGGAAGCAAAAGAAATACAACCGCAGACAAAATGCCTCTTGACTTCTAGAGAAATCAGTCTTCCAGAGGAAGACAACTACATAATGGCTATGAACCCCCAAAAGACTTTTAAATTCAATTCTAAATTTATTTGAACATTCCAGCAAATACAGACACAGTAAAGGCACCAACAGCAGTCTATTTATATGTGAAGAATGGGAAAAAAATGTTTTTGGAAAACACTTACCATGGTCGGTGGATGCAGAAGCTGACATGCCCAGAGTTAGCGATTATCAGCTAGGGGTAGATTGCGGGGAGAATTGTTTCCAGTGTGACCCCGAATGATTAAAATCCTCAGTCAGACCGTAACCAAGTGAAATGTCATGTCAGCCCAGTTCTAATTTTAGTTCATGGACAAAGCTGAGAATAGCAAAAATCACATGGAGCTTCTGTGCAAAGGATCAACCGATAATGTATGTGAGCGCATTCTGTGCACTGCAAAACGCTGGGCTGTAGGCATTATAAAATCATCCAGCATAACTATTTCAAAGCTCCTGCAAAGTAATTGCTATTGAAAAGTCCTCACTTTTCATGATTTGCACGTTTTGAGTGTTTACTAGAATCTAATGAATCTGTTCCAAGCCAAGAAGTTTGGAAATATGCAGATGTGTATAACAAAACCCTACCTGGTAAGCCAGAGATATTTAAATATTTTTTAAGTTTTTTGGGGGGAATTAGGTTTACATATATATATATATGTATATATATGTATATTTGTGTGTGTGTGTGTGTGTATGTATGTGTGTGAGGGGAGGTAATTAGGTTTATTTATTTATTATTTTTAATTTTTTTTAAATGGAGGTACTGGAAATTGAACGCAGGACCTTATGCATGCTAAGCACTCACTCTACCACTTGAGTTTACCCTCCCCCTCAGATACTTAAATATTTAAATTAAATGTGCAACTGTGTCAGAAAAAAAGAAAAATAAAGGTGTGGATAGATGTGGGTAACATAGAAGCCCCAAGCTTCCGCTGTATCCAGGCTTCAAGTTTAATTCTCTCTCAACCTTTAGCTCCTCAGACCTCATAGATAGGAGCTAATTCCTGGTTCTTTAACAAATATATATGTATCTATTTTTGAATTGGAAATACATGCACATGGGGCAAATTTCAAAAGGTAATGAATTCCCCTCACCTCCAGCCTTTTAGTTCTCTTCCTGAAGGCAGTCACTATCACCAGTTACTCCTGTGCCCTTCCAAAGACGGGCTGTGAATTTACAAGTATGAATACGTCTTTAAAAGCACACACACATGCTGGGATGTACACACATATACAGGGCAGCACACTATATACATTGTTCCATGCCATGTTTTTTCCTCACTCAGAATACCTTGGAAATAGTTTCATATTAGTATACTTAGAGTTACATCATTCTTCCTAATGGCTCCATAACATTTTGGCATGCAAGTGGGTCACAAGTTGTTTCGCTACTTGGACACTTGGGCAGTTTTGGTGTTTTAAGTCCCAGATTATCCCATAGGAATTCTCTAATGCTTCTATAATGAATAAGATCAGAGACTTATGGGGTTGCTTAAGATCACAGAAAGAGGAAAGAAGGTCACAGGATCTCAGCTCTAACCTCCCTGTCCAGAGAGTTTGCACCATCCCACACACGGCTGCCTTGAATATGCTCATAAATCAACATCAAGGTTCAGGGAGGAGTTCTATTAATCTTTGCCAAAAACACAAAGGTACGAAGGCCAGGTTCTGATGTGATTTGTAAAGCCCTTGGTTTGCAGAGTGGTTAGTGTGATGGCTTAGCCTGGCGACTGACTCTTCTCTGTCAAATATCTGAATATCTAATATTTCAAACTGTTAGTCATGTTCAGATTTATATTTATGCCAGCAGTTTCCAATTATTTAATTACACCTACCATCGCCCTGACTTACCTCGGTTACTGCAGTTTGAACTCTGGCTGCATTTCTCCAGGAAATTAAGTCGCTGGGTTTTTCCAGATGATTGCACGCTTGCAACTTTTGTACAGACTTTACAAACTTTCTTTTCTTTACTTTCCTATTTATCATATTTCTAGAGCTATGTACCACATATTTAGAGGATTCTTGCAGCAAACTTCAAGTTAATAGTTTATCACAGGTTGAACACAGTCTGATGGTTCCTCTGGGAATGTGGGTGGGTAGGGGCACTGTGCCGCCTGTTGCCCGAGACTGCCCCCTCCTCAGCCTGAGATGAGAATGAACCCTTCTTTGGCTGTCCTGCCTTTCCCCCTGCATCTAAGCTGAATTCTCGATCTCCCACCTGCTCTCATTTCCCCTGTCCTGACTTTTGTTAAGACCCACAACAGCTGTTCCCCATGCTTTGCGTTGCAACATTCCATGTAGTGCTCAGTAAAAGCCTGATATAGATGTCCTCTTCATAACAGAACTGCAGTGATGCATGTCAGGCTTGTTTTTGTGGCTCCTCTGGACTGCCTCCAAATTCTTCTGCTCAGTTTTAGCAAGCTGGACTAGAGTTCTCTCACAGGGTTCTTGATTAGCACACGAATTCGTTTCTGGTTAAAGCCTTTCTGCTCAATACTGGGACCACCTCATAATGAATTTATTTCTGTTTAATTCTGAGCTTGTGAACATCAACGAGTCATGCTACCTTCAGTGTTCGCCTAAATAATATTGCCTTCTGTCCCATAAAAATGCTTGTGGTTATTTTGATGGGATGCCAAAGGTAACAAGAACCATCTCAGGTTTGGCATAAATAGTTCAGAGTTGACTTGGTCTGTCTGATGAGACATCACTGAAACATGTGGTGACCTTGAGATGCTAAAGACTGAAGATGAGCTGCATAGAGCTCAGGAGAGAGGTGGCTCTGGAAAGGACTATTAGGAGACATTTGGGAGAGAGATGTGACCAAGCCTTTTCCCAAGCACACTGTGATTACAGGCGAACAGCGGGGAAGGAATCCAGGCTGCGAGTTCAAGTCCACCCATGCAATTCAAACTGAACTCGTCAGGCAAAGGCAGGGAGGAGCAGGAAGGGAAGCTTGTGACAAAGGAGGGTTGTGAGTCTTCTTTTAGGAAGAGGGAATTTAGCTCAGAGAGAGGTAGGGAAGTTTTGTTTTGGTTTGGTTTTTTTTGTGTGCTAGTGATTATTTAAAAAATAAGAACAGTTCTCTCCACATTTTATCAGTTAGAGCAGCACTATCCAACAGAATTTTCTATGATGGAAATATTCTTATATCTGCAATGTCCAATATGGTAGCCACTAGCCACATGTGGCTATTTACATTTAAATTTATTACAATTAAATAAAATTAAAATTCATTTTCTGAATTACACTAGCCAGATTTCGATTGTTCAATAGGCACAATAATTAAAATTAAAATTTGAATAGTCACCTTTGGCTAGTGGCTATAGCACTGGACAGCTCAGAGTTAGGGGACTATTTTGAGATTAATCTCAGAGAGTGGGGCTTTGCTCCACCTACTTGTTTGGAAATACTGGTGCCTCCCACCTTGTGTGACTGCCATCAACATGCAGGCCTCAAGGTTGCTATGGAGATGAAATAGAGTGTTTGGAGTTCTTGGGAGGTTGAATGGGCCACATCTGGAAAAGACCTACATCACTTCCACCCATATTCTAATGGCTAGAAATAAATCACATGACCCTACCTAACTGCAGACTAAGCTGGAAAATATTTAACCGTGTGCCCAGAAGGCAAAGGAAATGGTTCTATGGACAACGTTATGCCACCCCATTTATTAACAATAAAAATTTTAAATTTAGAGAGTTCTGAGTCTCCAACACCTTCTCCATGAAGAACTGGAAATTAGTCTTAATTAGTGTGCCAAGGGAATCCTACCTAGTTCTGGGTGTGAGGAAGACACGAAAGGAGACATTAAGGACCCCCAGGTTGAATCACCTTGTCTTCTCTGGAGATAGAAGGTGAAGTTCTCTGCTTAGTATGACAGGGCTGGGAGATGTTTGTATCAGTGCTTCAAATCATCAGAAAAGATGTGGGACAGATACTGTGAAGAATGGCTGGGCCATTTGGCTCCTGACCCCCTTGTCCCTTCCAGGGGACCCTCCCATCTTAAAGGTCCAACACACAATGGGAAGCAAATCCTTTGCTGAATTCTCAAAGGATGAGACAAAAGAGAAGGTGGTAATGGCAGGGATCTGGGTTTATTTTGAGCCAATGATGTTAGACTTTCGGGGGAACATATTACATTCTCATTTCAAGTTTCATGTTCTCCTAGTTTTCACATTTTAAACGAGAGGGAAATTTTTACTGATCATGTCGATCTTCATTTAAAATTCTGTAGATGCCATCAATTGGTTAAATTATAGTACCTCCTCTCCTCAGTTCTAGGCAGGATCAGTAACCTCTACTCGCTGCTTTCATGGCACCCTGTTTTTTTCCTACTTAGAGGCTAATTATATTTTTATTTTTATGATTATTAAATATCTGTCTCCCCTCTAGACTGTAAGCCCAATGAAGACAGTGGCCACAAGGATGCGCATTTTGTACCCAGTGCTTAGCACCACGCTCGGTATACAGTAGATGTTTAATATTTAGATAAATAATAAATGCAAATAGTAGAATACCATGGAGCCATTTAAAAGTATGATAATGTAGAACAGTTTATTGATTCATAATATGTTAAATTAAAATAATCAAATTATATAAAATAGCAGATACAGTATGATCCCATTTTTATAAAAAGAATAGCTATGTATACAGATACCTTGATCAAAATGCTAAGTAGTGGTAGGATTAGTGGTAGGATCATGGACGATTTTATTTTATTTGTAACTTTTCATATTATCTGAATTTTAAAAATAACCATCATTTGACCCATTACTTTGTAATTTATACACCATTTCCATTTTGAGAAAGTCAAGTAGACAGTGAAATGACTTCCTTTTCTGCCATAAAACTTCACTTGGATATACATTATTCAATTACACAATATTGGAAACAGACTGAATTTCTGAATGTAAATCAAAATGTTGGATTAAATTCATCTTGATGCTATTTCTGATTCAAGTGGGCCTCTAACAAAATGATCATGAGGAACCCTTTATTTCTGTATAAAATTCATTATTTTCTTTTAGTGTGTCCATAACTACCCATAATTACTAAAGGGTAGTTCTGCCCATACGGGGAACGGAATAGACCGTAACTTCTTAATCTGTCCTATTTTTCAGTTGAAGATCAAGAAAGTTAAAAAAAAAAAGGTTGAAAGGCAGTGGGCTTCTGAACATAAGACAACCTCAGCGGCCGCTACACTTAAGTAACCTCCTCATGAAGCGAGGCTGCAAAGGTAAGGTTTTTCCCAATAAAACACCAAAACATTACCAAAATTCTACAAGTGTATCCATTTTAAGCAAACACCTTCCATGGCCTTACTGGTTATAAAACTATAATTGGGAATTTTTAAGATTAGCTTATAATTTTCTCTTCTAAAAGATTAATTTATACAAATAAGACATTTACAGAAGATAATCTCTACAAAGCAACATACTCCTGGATATCTTAAAAGTATAATTGCACTTACTTTGCACGACAATTTGCATTATTGTGGGGACATAGAAAAGTTTTTGTACATAAATTCTTTTTCCCAACTAAGTGTAACGGCAAAGTTTCATTAAGAGTTTGTTTAAAATAAAAAAAGAAAGAAATAGGGCAAATACTGTATATGAGTATCTGTGTTTTAGTAATATTCATTTTGTTGTTCTTGCCAGTTTCAATCCATTGACACGAAGACCTCAGACATATTAAGAAGTTGTACTATGACCTATAAAATATGACAGCCCCGGGAGAATGATTTCACCATTATCCATCTTCAGTAAAAAGCCTAACAGAATAGGGATAAATACTGTGCCTCAGAACCTTATACACGTTACAAATCACGTATAATACAAACTGCAGTGAAGAACACGTGCTGCACAGCTGGGCCCTGCAGACTCTTTGGAGGCTCAGAAAGTTCAAGGACATCTTGTCCATCTTCACTTCAGATCTAGCAGCATAAAAGCTGGGTTTTCTAAGTAGGATTTCCACAAATTAGAGAAACGTGACACTGTAGCGCCATCAATAATTCTGTGGTCGGCTGACCAGCTCACATTCATTATCTGAGCCTTATACACGTCTCCTTTCTCGTTAAATCGGGGGAGGGCCTACGGGTAGGGAAAAGAACAAAGAGTCAGCCTTCACTTGCTCAGAGCAAGCTCCAGCAGCAGCAACAGCGAAAGATTAGGCAGATCCCCGCCCGATAACCGGGAGGAGGTGGATGTCCCAAATGCCAACTCCTACTTTTCCCGCCTTTGTGAGTACGTGTTTCAAGTTTCCAGAGATTCTCCAAAGGCATTTCCTGTCCCCTGTGTCATTTCTACACGTACAGTGAATTTCATTTCAGATTCAATTATTTAGTGGATATTTATTGAGCTCCTACTATGTACTAAGCACTCTTCTAGACTCTGGGGATAAAGCAATGAATGAAACAAACAACAACCCTTGCTTCCTTGGAGCTAACATTTCAATGGGGAGAGACGGATGATTAAGTAAAATGTGCACATTGTGCTAGACAGTGAGAAGTGCCAAGGGAAAAAGAAAGCGCTTTGGAACGAGGATACAGACTGTAGGCAGGAGGTGGAAATAGGGCAGAGGCTACATTTTTTTTGACAGGTGGGCAGGAAGAGCCTCGCTAAGGTGTCCTCACTGAAGGCAGTGGCGACACAAGCCACATGAACATGTGGAGAAACAGAGAAGGGAAGCAAGACTGCAGAGTTGGCGGACCAGCAGGGTTGGCAAGGGGGAGGTGCCGGGGTGAGAGGTGAGAGGTGAGGTCACAGACGGAGCAGGCTGAAGGTGGGGCATGTTCTTAAGACTTAAGGAATAATGTTTCTCAGAGGGAGGGTATATCTCAGTGGAAGAGTGTGGTGCTTAGCACACATGAGGTCCTGGGTTCAAACCCCGGTACCTCCATTAAAAAGAACAGTAATAAATAAATGAATAATTAAGCCTAATTGCCTGCCCGCCACCCCCACACCCCCGAAAGAGTAATGCTTTTCAATCTGTCTTTGATTTGAAGAAAAAAATAATTAAAAAAATTCTAATTCATTGCAGGCTACTTTAAAAAGATATTAAAAGTGAAACTCAATGAAAAAGAAATACAAAGACACAAAATAAAAGGCTCATTTCTCATTATTAGGTTCAATAGACATAAAATCACTGTGTCAAAGGGCAATGAAAGTTTCTAAGCCCCAGGCTCCTCTTCTGTACTTGTCTCCGCATAGCCCGGGTACAACAGCCAAGGCCTGACGCGGGTCGCAGTCACACAGAGCAGCACCAGCGCAGAGCCATGGAGGCCACTGCAGCTATTTTGCCTTTGATTTGGAGTGAGGTGAGAAGCCACTGGAGGTCTCTGAACAGAATGGCCAGTCAGTGAGATGGGAAGACTCCAGGAGTAGGCAAAGAAGAAGGAAATGTGAGATGCCTAATTAGACATTCAAGCAGGATGTGTAAGCTTGGCGTTCAAAGGACAGGTCTGGTCCGGAGATAGAAATTAGAAGCCATCAGCATATAAATCAAAGCCATGAGACTGGATCAGATAAAGAAAAGGCTAGAACTGAGCTCTGGGGCACTCCAATGTTTGGAGGTGGGGAGACGGGGAGGTACAGGCAAGTAAGACTCAGAGGGAACCAGCAGTGGCAGCAGGAGAGACTAGTGAGGCTTTCTGCAAGTCATAGTCAAGAACGTTTTCCAAGGAGGTGGTACTGATCAACTCAAGGTCAAGAAGATAAGGACTGAGAATTGAGTAATGTGGAGGTTATAGTGACTTAAGACTATTTAGCAACAGTTTAAAATTTATAGTGAAAACAGAAAAATAGCAAAGGAGAAATGAGACAGGGACAAAGGAATGAAATATCATTTGTCTCAACCCAAAAAAAGGTGAATTCCATTAAGTCACTATGAAGATCTATATTCTAATTATATTCTAAGAACTATGCTTCAGAGCTTGAAGAAACCATGGGTAAAATGATTCTGAAAAAACACAACTGACACAGACACTTGCAGACCCACGTAGACCACAGCAGCATTATTTCCAATAGCCAAAAAATGGAAACAACCCAAATACGCATCACAGATAAATAGGTAAACAAAATGTGGTACATACACACAAAGTTTCAGTGTGGGATAATAAAAGAGTTCTGGAGACAGATGGTGGTGATGGCTGCAAACAATGTGAATGTACCTACTGCCGCTGAACCTTACACTTAAAGATGATTAAAATGGTAAATTTTATTATGTATAGTTTACCGTAATGAGATATCTATACATACAATTCAGAAGAAAAGAAATAGCTTTCAGGAAAAGGGAAAATAAAACTTTGTCAAATGGGTATGATGGTTTGGAAACTGTAAAAGGTAAGAATTTTATGAGCATCAGATGTTGAATTTTTGCTGCAAGGAGAATGAGTGACAGAGAAGTTACCTTCTAGAGAAACCCCTGATTTGGACAGGACGGTGTCATACTACGTGTTCTTATCTTTTTCTTCCTGTCTCCTCTGTGTGCCTGAAGGGAAAGGAGCTGCCAGAAGGGAGAGTAACATAGCAGCCAAGCACTGTCTGCTAGAAAGCAAGTCAAAGGCTGAGTGAAAGTATCTGTGAAGTTTCTGGATACTGACATGAAAATAATAAACTCGAGAAAAGCAAGTCCTAGAGATGCTCAATGTAGAAGCGGCATAAATACAGAGAAGAGGAAAGGTTCTTCTGAAAACATGAAGATCAAAATCAAGGTTAATGCAGTGACAATGACATTTAAGAATGGTGGTATTGAAATGGCATCCAGGACTTATGTCTTTAACTCTGCTGGTCTCAGCCATGGGTTAATAGGGATGCCCAAGCCCCCTTCTCCACCCCCACTCCTAGTAATTCTGGTCCAGTTGGTATGGCCTGAGGCTGGGCTTTTTTTCCCCAAGCTTCCCAGATGATTCTAACATGCAACCAGGGTTAAGAATCATTGCAACCCTTATTGTAAGTCAGTCTTCTAAAACATGGCCGCAGCTCACTCATGCTGGAACCAGCTGGGTTCTTGCTTAACATGTAAGCTTTGGAGGCTCTGTCCCCAAAGCCAAGAAATCTGCATTTTTAACCGGTGCTTCCAATGATTCTTGAACAGAGTAGAATTTGAGAAAAATGCTCTCCACGGTGTCTCGCTGTTATAAAGAATAATTTGGATTGGCTTATATTCTTTGGTATTTGGAAATAAGGATATTTTGATAGATTCAGATTGGCTATATTTGTGATTATTCATAAAGACTCACATCTGAGCCTGGCATAACCTGCAATGCCTGATCCACACAGAAGCGATGCAGGTCACCAGCATTTCCTCTACAGAGAGGCAGCCACCAGAACTGGAGGCCCAGCTTTTAGGAAGAAATAACTGACTGACTAAACCCAATCTCATACTCAGACCTACAAAGTGAGGAGAAAACCTTGGAAATGATTACTCTTTTTTGTATCTACTCTCCCAATTTGCTTAAACTCTTACAAACACACCTTAATCGCTCCAAGGGCTCCAATTGCCACCTCAGGTGGTAATATCACTGGTTTGGCATAGGTGCCACCAATCTAAAAAAAAAGAGATAGAAATCAAGCTTTTGAAGAACAAATGGCAAATGAAGGTTTATGCTTTTAACTGAGCATATGAACACAAATCTTAAGTCAGGGTTTATGAATTTGAACACCACGATTACTCACTGATCCAATGTTAGAAAGAGTAAATGTTCCTCCTGTAAGATCACTGGTGCTGAGCTGACCCGCGGAGCCCAGGTTCTGGAGGCGGTTCAGTTCAGCGGCGATCTCAAATACCGAGCAGATCTGAACGTTTTTCACATTAGGAACGATCAAGCCCTGCTCTGTATCCATTGCTATCCCAATGTTATGAGAAGCCTGAAAACAAACAAACAAACAAAACCCCAATTATACAGTAGGCCTTTTCATAAGCTAATAGGAAAGTAAGGATCAACCTTCACTGCCTTATGAACACACCTATCAAAAACTATTTTCACCATGTTGGTGACGATTTAAAAGAAATAATTTTAGAAAGGTTTTGAAAAGATCTCTCAAAAAAGATGATTTTTTTTGGTAAGAATATAGAACAATCGGTTATTTCCATATATTGTTAGTGGAAGCGTAAGCCAGTATGTAAGTTCTGGAGAACTTTTAATGATACATACCAACATTTATTAAAAATATGTGTTAAGAAGATAAATGCAGAAGTATGTAGAGATGCAGAGATGTTGAGTTCAGATTGTAAGACTGAGAAACTGCAAGTAATCCAAATGTTTATCAGTAAGTCACTGGCTAACCAAATGACTAACAAAGCCATATTTATTGACATGTAAGGATGCCATAGAAATATATTAAACGAAAAAGAAAAAAATTTAATTAAAAAACATAATTCCATACACTTTTTTAAACTAGGTAAAATCCTAGAAGGATGTACATCTCAGCATAAACAATGAGTTATCTTAGGTTTATGAGACTGAGGTAAACATCACTATTTTCTTGTCTGAATTTTTTTTTGAAACAAGTATATAGTTAAAGAGGAAATTGTATTAATCATATGGAAAGATTTTAGATTCAACCCCCCAGAATAAAAAGCTCACTTTCCAGTTGTATATTTCTAGTAAGAAATATAAATAAGGGTCAGCATCCCAAGAAGAGTTCTCAGCCATAATAAACTTTCACTCCAAATAAACTTTCACTCAGCGGAATTCAAACTTTCATTATTTCTCCCATTTAAATTACTTGTTTTAAAAATTGCAGGAATCCCATCTTGAAAGAGCTCTTCTTTTTGAGGGGAGGGTATGTAGGATGTGAAAGGTAATCCACTGCCTCACAGCTGTATTTTTCTGCTACTTCATGCAAAAACCAAAAGCAGCTAAAAATAGCAATCTAATGCGGAGGGTATAGCTCAGTGGTAGAGCGCATGCTTGGCATGCATGAGGTCCTGGATTCAATCCCCAGTACCTTCACTAAATACATACATACATAAAAAATCTAATTACCACCACCAGAAGAAAAAAACTTAAAAAACCCCCAGCAATCTGCACATTAATTATTAACCAGTAAAACCAACAACAATAGCAATAAATTTATCTTCAGTTTAATGATTTACCCCAACATATAGACTAGATAAACAAATTTATACCGTATAGTACATGGAAATATATTCAAGATTTGTGGTAGCTCATGGTGAAAAAGAATATGAAAACGAATACATCTATATTCACGTATGACTGAAAAATTGTGCTGTACACCAGAAATTGACACAACATTGTAAACCAACTATAACTCAATTAAAAAAAAAGATATACCCCATACTTTCAATTGTGGTCTAAAGATCACTATTTGAGGTATGAGAGAAGCTTCTCTAACCTACAAGCACATTTATACCATTGCTTATTTAAACAATATATTTTCTTTTCTTTTTTTGTTAAATGTCCTTTCTTTCAAAAAAACAAAAAGAAATTTCAAGAGATTTTATTGAAGTATAGTCAGTTCACAAGGTTGTATCAATTTCTGGTGTACATCATAATGTTTCAGTCATATATATATATACAAACATAGATTTCATTTTCATATTCTTTTTCATTGTAGGTTGCCACAAGACATTGAATATAGTTCCCTGTGCTCTACAGTATAAACGTTCTTTATCTGTTTTATATATAGTAGTTAGTATCTGCATGTCTTGAACTCTCACGTTATCCCTTCCCACCCCTTTTACCGCCCGGTAACCGTTAAGTTTGTTCTCTATGTCTGTGAATCTATTTCTGTCTAAAATAAGACATTTTCTCAACACATAGCCAACCTTATACGTTATGTTCTGGCAGTTTTCATCCACAGATGCATTAAGGATAGGAAACTGTAGTAATCCCAGGGAAGCAGCCTGTGTAACAGAGAGACAACGTAAACACTTCTCATTCTGAAAGGACAGGGGATCATTTGAAGTAAGAAGAGGTGTAAAGGCTGGAGGCAAAGAACTCTTACTTAAGCTGAGTTCATTTTCAAGTCTACATTCACAAGGCATACTAATCCCACATGGCCATGTGGAACCAGGTCACCCAAATCATTAAAGAATAAAAGATAAAGGAGGCAGGCAGCCTGTAAACATCAAGATTTTTTAAAAACACTATGCAGACTGACCAGAGAACCAAAAAAAAATCTAAATTCTACGTGTTTCCCTCATTTACATGTAGTGTTAAGATTTCCATGAGAAGTAAACCTGTAGTTCAGAAAAACACTTCAGATTAAAACAGACAGGCAGTAATCTACTCCCCTGTGTAAAAAGCACAAGCGATAAGGATGTGAGAGGTCCGTGCTCCACCTGGCGTCCTTGGTCAGGTGAAGGGCAGAGCTGGCGCAAACATTTACTTTAGAGCCTGTCTCCCTGAATCGATGGCGTTTAGTCTTCCCGCTTTGCCTTCTTCTGCCTTAATCTCTCCCCTTTCCTTTTCCTTTTTTCTTCTAATACATCCGTTTTCTGTCCATATTCAGACTACCCTAACTGTTTACAGAATATTCTTTATAGCTGTTTCTCTGCCCACCTAGGATCTAATTAAAGTTCACACATTGCCCATTTGGTCGTCATATTCTATATTCAACTTAAAAAACAGGAAAATAAAAATGCTAAATATTGTCCTTGAAAAGAATGCCCTACCCCACTGCCTTCATCTTGTTCAATTAAGAGTTCTTTATATACATTGTGTTATTTTTGTCTGTGGGTCAGTGGTCTTGACAGAAAAAATAAATCATATCCCTGAAGTAGAGAGTTAAGGAAAATTTTATTAAGCATTTGATTTGATAACTGTGGCTTTAATCTTTATATAAAAATCCATAACTAAGGTTAATCAAAGCATTAGACATAAAAACAATATTTTGAGTATAATCCAAATTTTGTAAAAGGAGAAGCAAAGTGTGTGTCCACCGACAAGAGGTCATTTTGCCCCCTATACAATACTTGGTAGTATTTTCCAAATGTTCTAAAACTTTTATAGACTGGAAAAAAAAAGTTAAAACAAATAAAAGCATATTAAATTTTATTTTCAAAATAAAGATCAGGTATTTCATTCAGACTGGAACAATAAAGAAAAAAATAATCAAATAAACTTAATATATCAAAAGGCTGGTCTGTTCTTGCTTCAAAACAGACGTCGCAGGAAGCAGCATGAGGAACCCAGCTGAAACAGGAGCTGGTAGGCAGTCTCTCGCTCCTCCAGGTGAACGTCTCCACTGGGGTCTACATCTCATTCTCCCCTCAAGCCCAGGGCTTACTCCAACCACCCCTCCCACTCACACACTTTTAACTTTCCATTTTCCAGCTCTTTCCTTCGCCCACTGATCTGCTCAACTTTTCCTTGCAGGTGTGCAGGAGGGGAAGGGGCAAATGGAACCTTTCTTCAGTCTGCTCCAGCCACCATAACTGCCTTCTCCACCTACGCCCTGTCTGCCTTTTATCAGATTTTTTCAGTATCTCTTCCTCAGTTTCTTTCATTCCCCAACTAACTGCAATCAGGCTTCTACCTCAACAATACTTTACTCATTCAGCTCTGGCGGGGGACACACTCGACTGTTTATTGACCAATCCAATAGCCTGTTCCCATCCCTTATCCTATTTAACCCCTGTAATGTATACAGTTACCTACTTTACTCTTAAAACCTTTTTTCTTCTCTTTCAGTGTGAGAGGCTGAATCAGTGGCCCCAATCTTTCATGCCTCTCAGTCCAAACCCTCTGGCAGTGCTCCTGCAGGCTAATGCGGAGCTTAGTCACGTGATTTGCTTTGGTCACTGAGTTAAGAACAAACACGATGTAGCAGAGAATGCAAAAAATGCTCTAATTCTACTTCCTCTCCTCACCCCTGCCGGTACTGAGACTGTGCGTGGGCTAGCATTCTGGGAGAGACATCCAGGAGAGAAATGAGTCACGCTCCCTGAGGCCATCCTGCCCCAGCCGGCCCTTGGCCAGCCTTAGCTGTCCGCAGACATACGCGAGAGCCCTGCAAGATCGGCAGACCAGCCCTGCCCTCCTGCAGCCTCGTGAGAAATGATAAATGGCTGTTGTTTCAAGCCATTAAATCTGGGGGAGAGAGGGCTGTTATACAGCAATAGGTAACAGATACACTTGGCTTCCAAGGGACTGTTTCCTGGTTCTCCTACCGTCAAACCACTGGCCCCACTCACTGTCTTCCATTGCCTTTGCCCAGTCAGCTTCTGTACCCCTTAAACACTGGTATGAAGCACTCAGCCTTCTTTTCTCCTTCACACACAGCTGGGGTGATCTCATCCACGTGTCTGAATTGCCATGTCTCTACAGACGACTCACTACAGCTGTAACACAGTCCAGACCCCCACTTACTGACAACTGCTACGCCTCGTGTTTATAGAGCGCCCCCTTCCTTGTTAGGGCAGCTGTTTAAAAGACAGAGGTACAGGAGAACAGCCTCTACCTGGTGAGGCTCAGCGTCAGGGAAGAGACAACAGAGCAAACACTGGCAGCACACTGAGAGAAACCGCGACGGGAAACAAAAGGGTATTTAACTCAAACTGACAGCCACAGGCTTCCAGAAGGAGGCGATACCCAAACAAAATTTGGTATTTAGGATGAGGATGTACTTGATCAAGGGAGGAGGAGGCCCTTCAGGTGGAGTTAGGAATCCCAGCAACTACGTGTAGCTTAAAGTGACTAAAGCCGAGGGAGTGACTGTGAGAGAGAAGGCAGGAGAGGCAGCAGCAGAGACTCACAGAAATATTTTTGATGCTACACTAAGGAGTTTAGGAACTATCCTGAAGGCAGTCCTGAAGGGGCACCATTAACAAGAATCAGGGAATCATGAGTAACTGTCTTTAGGGAAGATCGGCCTTCGTCCAGTGTGGGGAGGGCGGGTGGGAAGCCACACTGGAGCGAGAGACAGCAGTAGGCATTTTTGAGAAAAACAGACCAGAACCTGAAACTTAGCTTCTCCAATCATAGCTATAAATCCTTGCGAAGTGGCTCAACTTCTCTGAGCCCCGATTTCCTTAAATGGGAAGGAGGGACAGTGATATTTACACGTCAGGGTTACTCTGAGAATTAAAAGAGATCATGCATACAGCAGGCGTGGCACGGGGTCAGCCGCTCGGTAGCGGCTTCATAAATGGTGCTGAATGTGAGCGAGACGGTGGGCTGCTCAAGGGCAGTGGACGGTCTCATTCCATCTCACACTGGGCCCGAGGCCTCGTACAGGAAACGATGCCCACAAGTCTCAATGTAACTTTGTTGAAAAGTGAAAATAAACACACGCCAATGATACACAAGATCAACACTAAGTTTCACTTCGTTCAAATCAGGACTTCGCTGGAGTGATCTTTTCAGAATCAAAGGCTTTTACCTGACTGGCAGGACAATCCTTCTCTAGCTTAAAGAGGTAAGGAGATAAAAATCTGATATAGAAAGTTTAATTTTACAAACTTCCATGAAACAAAGAGAGTGTGCTTGTACATTTTTCTATGTGATACAGTAAGAAATAATATTTTTGTGCAAACCCACGGTCAACACATTGCACTCTGGCAAAACAAAATTTAAACATCTTACTCAAGTCTTGCTTGAAATGGATGAAACCTCACCTTTAAGAAGAAGGGCATAAAGGTGAGTTTAATACCACGAGCAAAAGCAATGGGTTTTAGTTCTTCTCGTAGCTTAACCAGTTCAGTAAGGTCAACCTCATCACAGTACCCAAAGTGGGGTATCTTCAGGGCTGCGGACATGCTCTTGACCATTGCTTTGTGAAAGCCTAGAAAACATTATACATAAATCATATATTCTTAGATCCTTTAAAAAACTAAAGTAGAAGTTTCTCTAATGTCATTTACTCTCAACTCAACTCTTCCTCTTGGAGTTACCATCTTCGTCACATAACTTGAAAGCCACTAATTTCAAAGCTGAAGCACTGACCGCAGCACAACACCCAGTACCAAGTGTGATAATGTAACAGGTAACTGCTTTCAACGCTGCAGTACATGTAACATTCAGAAGGATGCAAGCCATGAATTTACATGATGGGTTTCTTGCAAAACCGCTCTTCTGGAAGCTAATTATCAGAAGAGTTTATAAACAACAAATCAGAAGTAGCTGTTTTGAAAGCTAACTAAAAGTAATGAATATTTAAAATATCCTGAGTGAGTCTTCAAACAGAAAAATTATCTGTATGTAAGCTTACGTTCTAAGAAACCTCCTAACATAGTATTCTTCAAAGATTAACAGTACATCTTGAAGCTTTTCCTAGAAAAACTGTTATTTCAGCCTGTTGAAGTGGCGTCCCCCCAGATAAACTGCACCTTACGTTACTTTTATTATTACCTTTGACGGGCTCTGTTCTGTCTTTGCCCGTGAACACCGGAGGCTTTGACATGGGTATAGGAATAGTCCTGTCTTTTGATTTTGGTGGAGGTGGCACAATTTCAGCTTTTGGTGAAGGAGGTAATATAGCTCCTGTCTGCTTTTCCAAATAGTTGAGAATATCTTCTTTTAGTATTCTGCCATCTTTTCCTGAGCCAACAACTTCACTCAGCTTAATCTGTAAAATGACACATTTTAATGCTAAAAATAAAACTACCTAAAAATAAATAAATCCATCATTAAGGTCCCTAAATAGAATCAAACGAATTGGAAGTTAAAAAGTATCTCTGTCCAATAAATCAGTATAAAGAAATAACATTTTCATCACCTTAACAGAATGCTATAAACGTTAAACAACATTTTCATCACCTTAACAGAATGCTATACACTACAGCTTCCCTGCATGGGTGATCATGTCACTTTTGTACATACTGGTCATTTGCCCATGTATCTGCATTGTACACAATCCATAGCTATTAATGAACACTTACATTTTTAAACAACTATTTTTAAATTTCTTGCATAATTCTTATCTGATTTTTCCCCTTATTTTTAAAGACTACATAAGAAGAAGAGCTGAGAGTTTAAAAACAGTTAAACACAGTAACAAATGTAGACCAATGTTTCTGACCTTGGCTACCAGCAAACACGTAATGGTTAAAATAATTATTCTATGAAAGCTCTCTCAAATTAGTTTTTATCTGATGGTTGTTTTAGAAGGATCAGTACAAAAAATAGAAAAAAACATTTTTTTGAGGCATATGTGGAATGTGAGTTCCTCAGCCCAAGTTAAAGGTCAAATACCTAAGTTTTATTATTTCTTTCTATAGAATAAACAATAAGATGATACAATTCCACTTTCCACTAGACATTCATGATACTTCTTGGAAACATATGTGATCTGGCTTTCTTTAATCACTTCCTATGTTTGGTTATAAAGACAAAATATTCTCGCTAAGTTTAATTCTATTTAAAATAAAGATCCACGAGCTTGGATGACATCCTCGTGCACAGAGTTCATTGGTTCACCTCTCAAGGCTAAGTCCTGCTTCGTTTGTATCAGGGCTTCTCTAAGAATGACTTCAAAATGAGAAACTTGGTCACGTCAAACATTTAGTTCATAACAAATGAACTCAGAGAGTTTAAACAAATAATTTTTAGGTAATTACAAATAACTGTAAATGTCACAGGTTTTTCATTTTAGAAACACTTAATTCATTAATATGCAAACTACAAGAAAAGAAAAAAGAAAAGGTGATTTATAATAACAAATCAACTATTTAATTTTCAGTAAGTATGCAAATACTCTAGTTGCTACACATAGCTTTAGGAAGAGGCGTAGGAAGGCCACATCATGCTATTTCTACAAGTAATCCTTCCATATAATTTTTTTATAATTTTTTAAAATGGTAAAATGTTTATAACTTTCAAAGCAATATATAAGATTATTTCATCTGATGCCCTTAACAATCTAGCAGTCCATATCACTATTTCTATTTTTCTATTATGCTAAATGTTCTTCATATTTGAACACATGAAATGGCTAACAGATTTTTAGTAAGGGGTTTATAACATAATTTACCCAGCCATTTCCCTGATTTTGAATACGTGTATTGCCCTCTAAATTTTGGCTACTACATAAAACACTTGTAAGAATACTTCCTAGGTTATTTCCTTGGGATAATTCTCCCATGGTAGGTTAACTGGTTGAAGGGATAAGAACATTTTAATGACTCTTACCATATACTCTCAAAAGGTAAACTCCCCTCCCCCCACTAACTTAAATACTTCTTTCCAAAACAGGTAGACAAACAAAAACCCTGCATTGTGGGGCACAGTGTAAAGAACTCAAGCTTTGGAACCAGACAGATTTGTATTCAAATCCTGAGTTCAGCTACTTACTTGATTTTAACCAATTTAATCAACTTATCTGCCCTTTCTCATCTGTAAAAAGAGGATAATCCAAACCACCCTGCAGGGTTACTATGAGGATTAGAGATAATGTATGTACAGTGTCTGGCTAAAAAGTGCTTGAATAATGGAGGCAACAACTGTTGAGACAGTATTAAGATGACAGAGCACAGGTTTTGGAGTCACGGAGACTCATTTCAGAAACCTGGTTCCACCCCTGTGCTAGCTGTGTGAACTCAGACTAGTTACTTGACCCCTCCAGGTCTTAGAAGGGCCCTTCATCTCACAGTTGTGAAGATTAAACGTGATCATATGTAAATTATTAGCTCAACGCCTCAGAGCCACCTTTCCTTGGAGGTTAAGCGTCAATGGCTTGCAGACAAGAGGGAATACAGCCTCCTTGACTCAAATCAGTCCCTGTCTCCCTGGGATAAGGCAGATCCTTGAGACCACATCCTTGCCTGGCCCATTTCCCTCCCTTTCCTATACTGCTTCCTTCATTCCTAGTAAAGGTCTACTCTCTCAATCAACCACACGTTCCCAAATCCCTGTCTCCAGCTGTGCTTCTATGGTACCTGATCTAAGACACTAGTATTTACAAGTGGCCAGTAAGTGGTAGCCCTGATTATTGTTAGGCTCTAAGGAAGAATAACATTCTCAATTAATATCAACAGTAAGTCCTCATTTCTCATGAGGACTTTTATGCAACTATTACTTTTCAATAACAGACATTTTCGTGTTTTCTTTAAACCCAACCTGAAGCCATCTTCATCATCAGATGGCTGGGTGATTTTTCATAGATATAAATGTAAACTTTCTATGCCATCTCACACTTAAATATTAAGAAAACTTACATTGTTTTCCATTGCAAGGCGACGAACGGCAGGAGTTGCCAGTGTTTTTTGGCCCTTTATCTCTTGGTGTGTGTGTTCATCGTGGGACACGGCAGGAGTTTCAACAACATCTTCTTCCGAATCTGGTATCAAGGTAGAATTTTACTCTTTAGTTGAAAATATTAAAACAACAACAAGCTTAGCGTCTTATATAAATAAATTCAACTTAGAGTTTATATCACACAATAGATGACACAATAGATGAGCTACTTTAGAATGGAAAAACACAACTTTAAAATGGAAAAACAAGGGTGGAGTGAGTGACCTGGCACTGTTTAGTGACTATTATTACCTGCTGTTCACTTCATTTCTGTTAAAACAATGTACCAGTTACAAGTTAAAAAATGAGTTTCTTTCATAGATTTTAAAACACGTTGTATTGTAAATGTTTTCCTAATAAATTCCTCATTTATATTTATACATATGGCATAAGACAAGAATCAAATGTGAGGTCAATTACATGAAAGATCTGTGACAATCTTACATGCTTTCCTAAGACAATGTAGCATCTAAAATTTCTCTCTGCTTTGAATATGGCTTAAGGAAAGCTGTGGAAGGTTTTATTTTCATGGCTAATACTAATTTGGTTGTTTTATTCTCTAACTCTAGAGCAGTGATACAATGAAAACTCTCGGGCTATTAGCATGTATTTTTGCAACCAAAAAAAGAGTTTTGAGAGCATTTAGTTGTCAAGGTCTGATGCTAGGAAATCAATGCTGTAGTACAGCAGAATCTCTGGGAATTAGTGAAAAAGAGGCTAAACCTCTGACAATCAGGAGGCAATTGAGTTTGCTTTGATATTCAATTGTAAGCAAGTAAGAAATTTTCGCTGCTGCAATTATGGAAAGACATTCTATTCATTCATTTCTGCTACTAGTCTATGAACTGTCCCAGTGGTGCTCTCAAATTTACCCTACAGGTGAGGAAGGAATAAGAAAAAAACACAAACAAAAACCTTGTACTGAAGATGAAGGGTAGCGGAATATGCCACCCCAAAATATGACTGTAGGGGTTCAGGACATGCCACTTCGGTGCACGGATTATTTTGAGCTACAGGCACTTGAAAACAGCAAATGCAGTGAGAGGCTTACTATGAACTCTCCTCATTTGCCTAAAGGGACTTCCAAAAGGGACTCAGTTTTCATAAATTCCCTCCACAGGAGTTTCATCCACAGGAAGATTGACTCTTATCACAGGAGAAGAAATTAGATGCCAGCAACACACCCTGGTAAACTTTGTCCCGAACTATCATACCTTTCATATATTCTTCTAAGGGCCATTCCTCTTTCCTAAAGTCATTTGTTCTTCCCTCGGAGGCCTACATCTCTTCTCCCCTTTCCTGTTAAGATGGTATTTAAGCCTGAATTCTAAGCCACCTCTTTGAGGTACTCATTTTTCCCTGGGTGTTCCCCATCTAGACATGAGGTATATGTGTCAATAAACTTGTTTTTCTCTTAGTAATCTGTCTTCTATTAGAGGAGTCTTAGCTAAGAACTCAGAGGGTAGAGGGAAAATTATTTTTCCTTCCCATGAGCACCTAGGATGTCAAATACTGTACTACATATGCAGTATCTTAAACTTCATTCCAGTTGTGTAAGATAGGTGTTATAATCCCCATTTTACAGATTAAAAAAGCAAAAGACTTAAGAAATGAAGGGACTGGACCAAGGTCACACACCTAATAAACTGAAGAACTGGGATTCAATCCCAGGGCTGACTCATTCTCTCCTGTTTGCATTAGCTCATGGCCCTAGGAAATCTCCTTTCTGGTCAGATAAACTGGAATAGAGCTTCTATTGTTCAAGGCATAATTTTGTTGCACTTTGAGAAGCCCTGTGTATTGTCCACCTCTGTTAAGATTATTGGAGAAACTAGCAAGAAAGATCAGCATTAGGAACTAAGATCCAAAGAAAAATCAAGAGGATTCAATCACAGGAATCTCAAATGCTAATTTGAATAACACGTATTTGCTGAAATAGGAGAAATGCACAAATGCCCAAATATATCATATACAAAGGTCATTAATATAATATTCCAAAAAGATCATGTAATTTATTGCTACGCGCCTTCCTGGAAAACATTTTGATATATCACCAAGTAGTACTATCCCTTAGAATAACTTGGGCGTAAATATTAAGTAATAAAATATCTGTAAAAAGTCACTAACATTATATACGATTTGTAGTAGTCATGCAGTTGTTGGAAGAAAGGTCTCTTAATCCATACTAAGACATCACCTGGTTATACAGCACTTTAAGTCACTTTCTAAGTGTCTTTATATACTTATATAAAGTATATTTCACACTTATTTTCTCCTTTGATGATCACAACAACGTTACGAAAATGCAATGCTGCAAAAATGCCAACATACAAACATTTCTCGATTTTACAATGTAGAAACAGACTCTTAGGGGATGGAGTTAAGACAACTAAAATTTCATGACCCTCTTCAACAGATGTGATCTCCATGGTTCTAGCACTATATGTGAGATTTTATTCCTTCAGTAGTGGACTTAGGTACAGTTTTCAAAGCCTTAATTAAATTTTAAGAAAGAGCAAAAGAACTGGTAAATAAACACTTTTTGTCATGAAGATTGTCAATTTAGTGTGGCTGGAATTCATCACGTAAAGCAAACTTATAATAAAACTATATTGTTTCAGATTAACTAAATAAAATGGTAATTTGAATTAGTAAAAATACTAAAACTCTGAAATTGCAATATTCTTAGGTATTTCAAAAACTGTTTCTAAGAATCACATTAAGTAGTTCAGTTTATTCACTTAACTGGAAAAATTCTTTTGAAATACTAAAGCACTAAAAGATTTCTGGAAGTTTCCTTTTGTAAAATGCTTCCCGCTCCCCGCCTGCCCCTCAGCACAACTGCTTAGGAAGAACTTTCTTTATACCACAAGTGTAAACCTTAGTTTAGTTTCTGCCCAAATGATCATAAATTAAGAATTAATGACAACTAAGCCAATGAGATTTGATTCCATTTTCAAGGCAAATTATTGAAACAGCTGATTCAATCAATCCAGTCTACAATCAGCTGTACAAAAGAGCGTTACAGCTACCATTTTTTGAGTACTTATTATGCTCAGGCATGTACTGTGTAATTGGTTACCGAGCTTAATTTAATTAAATGACGTATGTTCTTGGAATGGTCTTATGTCAAAGAGCTTTTCTTTAAAACACTGTATTATCCGAGCAAATATTTTAATACTATAAACTCTACGGGACACCTAATGTGTTCTTACAGCAGAATTCTGGTAAATATGCATATGTATGTTGTTAGAAATCTAGTCCCAGTGCTCTGGATGTGGTGTGGAGTTGCCACCTATAGTCTCTGAATAGAACTTCCAGCATAACAAAGCGGTGAGGACCACGGGCTTTAGAGTTAAACAGGGCTGTGATCAGCTCATCGCTCCACCTGACAGCTACGTGGCCACAGACAGACAGCTCTGTAACCTCTGTGGGGCTCAATGCCACATGTGCCAAATGGGGATAAAAATCCGTATGACTTAACAGGATGATGTACAGATAGCATCAGCACAGAGAAAGCATTCAACAGTAGTTGTGTTCATGTTAAAGAGTAAATGCAATATAATGGCAGAATAATAGCAGTTTTATAAAGTTTTCTGCTAGCGCTTGTGTCCGCCCGTCTCCTCCCTTCGTACCTACGCATGGCACCAAGACACGTCAGTTAGGGGTAATTAGGTATAGGAGCCCCCTACTTGTCTGGTGGTCAGCCTTTTTGGCAACTTAAGCTTATATAAGGCTTCAGGCCCAGAGCACCTGAAGTAGCTGTCACACAGCCTCAGCATTAGAACCAGGCACATGCTCCAGAGAAAAGGCATTCAGACTCTCAGTCAGATCCTGTCTTCTCTTCTGAAGCACGTACTTCTTAACAAACTGGGGTATCTGTGGTCCCAGAAAGTTAGGAAGGAGAATGATGGCACGGCACAGTGACATGCTAAGAGGTAGGCTGAAAAATCAAAACTCAGAAGCAGAATCGTGTTGCTCCCAGAACAATGAATATTCATTAACATGTCTCTGCATAATCAAAAAAGATTTCAGGTTATACTCAATATCCTCAGTTCAGGGAGTAAAGTACGTTAATATTTTTTATGTAAAGATACGTTCAAAACCATTAAATAAATGGTTTTGAAAAGTTTTGGTTCAAAAAGCTTTAGTTGTTCACAGACATAGAAAACAAACTATGGTTACAGAGGGGGAAGGGATAAATTGGGAGTTCGAGACTTGCAGGTACTAACTACTATATATAAAACAGATGAAGGGCAGCAGCACAGGGAACTATACTCAATATCTTTAATGAAAAAGAATATGAAAACAAATATATGTATATATATGTATGATTGAAACATTATGCTGTACACCAGACATTGACACAACATTGTAAATGGATTATACTTCAAAAAAAAGAAAAAGTTTTAGTTGTTTAAAGTGAGGAGTCATCTTACTTCTTTAGAGGTCAGAGAAAGCCAAGTTAGCTGGCATGTAAAACTGAGTTTATAGCAGACAGTGTACTGTGACATGAGTTAGCTTTGATATAATCTTGATAGTGTTAAGTAACTAGATTTCAATTTGCAATGTAGTTTTCTTTAACAGTATATGTTTTCTACATGACACAGATACAAGTTGGCATCAGTGAGTCCAGTAACCTCTTTCCCAGTAGAGGTCACTCTACAGTCGAAGCGCTGATAGATAAGATCTGGGGGTCACAAATACGTTTTTCCTCATCAAAATTATCATGACATTACGGTCTTGAAAAGTAGGCTGCAACACCATGTCTTCAAAGAGTGCCATAGAATGTTACTTAAACAAGTATTAGAAAACAGGATTTACACTCTTGATGGTTCTATGCTATAATTATCTTCTACCTGTAAAATGGACCTAATGTATCTAATACTTCTAAAGACTTTTCCTTAGGTCATTTTCTCTTTATAGATAATAATTGATTTTAGTGGCACTAAAACAAGAAACAATACAAATTCAGCATTACTACAAATTCTTAAGACAATGTACACAAAATATTTAGAAACTTTTATCCTTTCCAGAATTAAAAAGAGGCACATAGAAATTTCTCAGTGAAATCAACCTACCCTTTTATATAGGCCTGCTTACTTGATATACAGGTTTATGTTTCATAGTTTTTACAGTTAAAAAATTAATAAAAAGTATAAGAAAACATAACTATAAAAGCAAAAAGGTACACAAACATAGTAAAACTAGCATGCAAGATAATTATTCAGAATATACTCTGAACAGCAAATGAAACAGAACAGCTAACAATGATCAGTTCTCTGAGGATTATCAGATCTTTTTTACTCTGAACGTAACCTATCCAATCCCATTAATTTTTTACAGACTTACAATACATACATAGATATAATACAAAATTTGATAAGCTTTGAAATATACACATACCCACAACCCATCACCACAGTCAAGATGATGAACATCCCTGTCACCCCCGGAAGTTCCCTTGTACCTTGGTTGTCCCTCCTTCCCAGTCCTCCCACCCTTATTGTCATTAGAGATTAGTTTGCATTTCCTGAAATTTTTATGTACATAGAATCATACAGCATGTTCTCTTTTTCAGTCTGGCTTCTTTTGCTCAGCATAGTTGTTCAAGATTCATCCATGTCATGCAGGAAATTAAGTTTTGTGAAAAAATTATCTAGAAAAAAAAATACCTCCCTCCTGAAAAAGTGCTTTGATTTTATAATTTGCTGTATCAAGACTTATTGAAAGTTGGATCTCACTTCAGATACCAAAAGAAACTAAAAATCAATGCAAATAAACAAACAAAAAAGCCCCTACAAATCACAATTGCTCACTTGTTCACATACAGTAAGCCGTGGGAATCAATAGGTTCTATATCCAAAGATCCCAACTGCTGATAAAAAATATTCAGAAAATAAAATTCCAGAAAGTTCCAAAAGGCAAATTTGAATTTGCTGCATGCCAGCAATTTACCTAGCATTTACATTGTATTAGGCATTATAAGTAATCCAGAGATGATTTAAAGCATATGGGAAGATTTTTGTAGGCTATAGGCAAATACTACATCATTTTATAGAAGGGATTTGAGAATCTGCAGGCCTTTATATCTGTGGGTGTGTGTGTGTGCTTGCGCATGTGTGTGTGTCCCAGAACCAATCCCTTGCAAATACCAAGGGATGATTATAATTTGCTTTTTTTTTTGTTTTTTGAGTTACAGTCAGTTTATAATGTTGTGTCGATTATAATTTGCTTTTGTGGATGGCCAGGATAGGTATCTAATCTGGTCTACAGCCCCTGATTGGATATCCTAATGTAATGACATCCACAGTAACGTTCAGCACTTTGGCTTGTTTTAGTTTATGCCAAGAGTATAACTCTTTTCTTTCTGGATCTTAACTGAGTGAAAAAATAAAAAATCTCTACCTATATATTGTTGATCCATCATTTCAGGTAATTTTTAAAGGTAAATTCTTTTTTGTTTTTAATAGTCCTAAATCATGCCTTTCAAAAGAAATTTGAAATCAAGATGGTAAGCAGCACACCTAGCACCCAGATTATGGTCTCTTAATTCATTCCACATTAAGAGGAACAGAGCAGCTGAAGGAATTGGGCTGGAAAAGTACAAGGTGAGTCCCAACTCATCTTCTTGTGCCAAAAGCGAGCAAGCTTTTGAAAATTCACAGAGTCATGCTAAAAGAACACATAGAAGCCACCCTGAAAGGGTCACAACTTTTAATGATTTAAGTATTAAAAAGAATGTAATAGATTAAGTACATCAAGTCAATTGAAATAAAAACAAAGAGAAAGTTGGAAAAATTAATATTGTAATTCGAAGAGTCTATTAAAGCAATTCCTTACTTGAGAATTGGTAGAGGAAAGAATCAAGCATTTATTTCCTTTTTGCAGTGGGAACCGTATTTCAGAGTAACTAAAAGCCCCAAAGATGAGGGGATAGCTCCACTTTACAGAATAATGCCAGCTAATAATGTTAAAGGAAAGGAAAGAATCCAAAAACCATCATTCTGCAACTACTAAAGCAATCACTGATTAAGGCAAGGATTCTCAAATGACATTAGAAACCACTTACATAGTGCCAAAGTAACACCGCATAGATAACTCTCACATTTCAAAGGAAAACACATAACCATACAGTGGAAGGGCAAGGGGATGGTTTATCCTAATTCTGTGTTTAAACTTAGCATCACTACAGAAGGTCATTCAGATGTTTTGTGTGTCCTGATGTGAAGAAATACGAAGTACATAAAATTATCCATGATGTAGAATATTTAACTGGAAACTAGCTTTTAAAATTTACTCCCAGTTTACAGGAAATATAAAGATAAGAGGAACAAGTCAAACACCACCATGAAGAAGCAACAAGACAAATCCAAAAGATGTAACATTCTGCAAAACAAATGGCACCATCTCTTCAGCAAGTTGTGTGGGGAAGTAGGAGCCAGACTAAGAGACCAAGTGCAATGTATAGTCCTGCACTGGACCCTAGCTTGAACAAACCAGTTGAAATCTCAAGGACATTTTGGTGGCAACTGGGGAAATTTAAATATGGTCTGACTACCAGATAACATGAAAATGCACTGTCATGACAATATGTAAATCATAAACTAAGCAAACAGAATACAGCAAGTACGAAACATTATTCTGGTTAAAAAATACCAAAATGTGTCTGTGCCTAGAAGAACATACACTAATGTGTCAAGAGTGGTAATTAATGAGTAGTAGAACTATGTTTTCATTTTCTTATTTTTGGTTTTCTGCATTATAGAACTTTCTACAATGCACGTATCCTGCTTTTACAATAGAAATTTAAAAAATAATAGGAAGCCTTTCAATAAGCTATTCTTCCAACTTTTGGAGGCAACATGTTGTATATAGTGGAAAATATTCTGGACAAAGGCTCAGGTCATCCGAGTTCTAAATTTGGCTTTGTCACTGGGCAAATCACCCAGTCTATCTAGGTTGGGTTTAGTTTCTTCATCTGTTAAATCGGACGACCTCACGAGAAAGGATAAATAAAATATTAAGTGTGAAACATTTTATAAACTGTAAAGTGTGATTATGATATTAGTTATTATATTATTGTACAGACTACAGGACTAAGAGTCAGCCAGCCACTGTAATTCAGGCTCCTTCTGGACTTTGGAATTACACGACTGAAATGTCTCTACTCAGCCCTTCCAGAAAAATTGCTGGCTTAGGGCTGCCTTACAGAATTATGCTCCCCTACCCCCACATCAAAACTTCCTAGATAACATAATCTTGGTGTATCACAACAAGGCCAAAAGGAACTTCTGACTTAGAGAGCCAGCTGTCTGCTACCGTAAGGACACTGTACTGTTTTAATTTTCCTCTGAATAATTTTCGAAAAGAATTCCCTTCTGTCAGGACATCTACTGCTTGTAAGTACCACGGTTGCTGCTGCTTCTGAATACTGGTTTCTTTGCTTCTCACTCTGATTTCCTTCTTTTCTACTTTTCTTCAAGAAGTTTGGCTTTCATAACCAGCACCAATTAGAGTGTGTTTGGTTTTTTTTTTTAATTGAAGTATAGTCCTGTTTACAATGCTGTATCAATTTCTGGTGTATAGTATAATGTTTCAGTCATACATACACATACATACACATACATACACTTGTTTTCATATTCTGTTTGAGTGTTTATATCATTGGCAAACAGAGCAATCCCATTATACGAGATTTAATCTTTGTGTATTTCAATTTTTGTTGTAAGTGACCAATGTTCAAAGCTTTAATCTCTAATTCCCAAGAAAGCTTGTTACTTCTTTGAATGCCAAGGTTTCCCGAAGGTAGACCTCCAGATAAATGATATATTACTGTACATGTTTTAACATGGTAACTGGTTTAAAAGATAATCACGCATCACAGAGGACCTTTTCTATTCTCCTGATTTCAGCTTCTAAACCCCCATATCAAATCCTGTAAGTAATTAAAAGTAAACACCGGAGGGTGGTTATAGCCCAGTGGTAGAGCGCATGCTTAGCATGCACAAGGTCCTGGGTTCAATCCCCAGTACTTCCATTTGGGAAAAAAAAAAAAAAAGTAAAGCATGAAAAGCGCTAATAACATTAAAAAAAAAGTCAACACCACTTTTAGTTGGTACCCAATGACGAAAGGAAAGCAGGAGTCAATTTGGCAAAAGAGATGAACATACAGTACCTTTTAAGGCTTCCGTTTCTATGTCTACTAACGGCTTCCCCACATAGGCAGTATCGTCTAGATTATAATACAGTTTTTTAATGATTCCATCATAACGACTAGTGATAGTTACAGAAGCTTTATCACTTTGAACTTCACAGATGCTATCAAACTGAGACACTGTATCTCCTTCTTTTACATACCTAAAAGACAAAGACACAGGACGCCTTTACATGAGCAACAGTAATACAGGTCATCCTAACACATAAATGCTACACTGAAGTAGATCAGTGTCCATCTAGCCCAGCATCGGGTCCCACGTGGTGCACCAAAGAATGTTCCAGTAAAGACTATAAATGGCTTCTAGAGGCTCTTTGATCTCTTTAAGAAATATACAATTTTTAAAAACTAATTTTAAAGTTCATAGCTCAATAATCCAAAAATTTAATTAAATTGTCAGATTTTCTGCCTCACCCATTTCTTGGGAGAAATTCAGAAGTGTATTTTAAAAGTCTTATTCCCGTCTGTTGTCTTACATTAGCCTTGTCAAGCTTTAGGGGATGCCTATTATTTCTAGAATTAAGTCAAAGCATTGATATCCCCAGTACATATCCTTTCTAATTTCATGAATCTTAGTCTGAGTTCTTAGACTTTGTTTCTCAGATGGTTAGTAAGTTTCAGAGTCAGGTTCTTCTAACTTGAAGCCGGTTGCCCTTTCCTTGATCCCACAGTGCCATAAAGACACAACTGTGCAATACACTGATGTTATTATAGTTCTCTTTTAACTTACAGGGCAATTATAATGAGAACTGGGCGGAAAGAATGTTCAGAGGCTGAATCAGATCCATTCTTTTTTAAAAATTTATTTTTTAAATGGAGGTACTAGGGATTGAACCCAGGACCTTGTGTATGCTAACTTCACACTCTACCACTGAGCTATACCCTCCCCTCTGAATCAGATTCTTAAAAGGATCTTTAACAGTATAAAACTATGGGACAGATAATTTATTGACTCACCTTAACTGCTACTTTAGAAACCTTTAAAAATCAGTTCAGTACCCAGAGGTGTTTCTTTTTTTCCAGAAAGGGAAATAAAGAAAAGGGGTAAAAGGATGGCTAAGGCAGTATCAGCTTTCTATTTTTGTTTCAAGCCCTTTTTCGGGACAATTTTTTAAACCTTTTCGATAGTTATTTTTTGATTCATGCCCTTTTATATAATATTTTAACCTTTTCTGAAAATATAAGTAAACTGTCAGGTAATGTATTTGTATCAAATGTATTTGCATTCTTACTAAAGTCATTTTCGGTAAAGAAAGCTTAGACTACATGATGATTTTAAAATAGTTTGGAAAGAAATGTTAAGCTCACATATTAAATGCTTTTCAAAACACAAGGTCACAGCAATTTAATATCCTCTAGAGGCTATTTTCTTTTTTAACTGAAGTGAGGGGTGGGCAGTGAGAAAAAATTATTTTAAAGAGGAAAAAAAAATCCTTAATAAATTAAATCAAATACAGGGCCATGATGTATGATGAACTGAGTCACCAGAATATTGGCAACACAAACTATGCTTACCCTATTGCTTTTTTAAAAAAATCATTACATGTTATAGTAAGAAGTTTCTCAATTTAAATGGATTTCTACTTATTTTTATCCTAATTATTTTCATACTTAAAACTGTTTTCAGAATAACTTACCATTCTTTGACAGTTACTTCTCTAATCCCTTCTCCAATGTCTGAAAGTTTGAACTGAACAATCTGTCCCTGTAGCGCTTCAAAGACAAATGAGAAATGATCACATTAAATATGTAATAGATTGTTAGCAGGCAGGTGCTTTGACATCTAAAATTAGAAAATATTCTCAAGCAGAGACAGAAATTATTCCATTTTACAGACTGAAACATTTTATAATGTTTAAAAGCATAACATCATTCATAACTATCCAAGATTTATATCAATTATTCAGTGACAGAGACCAACTGATATTGCCACAGAACTGGCATTTTTCAACTTACAAAATAATGTTCTTTCACAAGGGTATAGAAGGCCCTTCCAACAATGAGATTTTGCAACAATAGCAATGCACAGAAAATAGAACAAGATATCATACAAAGGGAAACCCAGATGGATCTCCTTGTTTTATGTTATGAAACTGTAATTACCATTAATGGACTGCTCTTTTGACCTCATGCAGCTCTTCTCATTCTTAGCATCTAAAGAGCAGGCAGATCCCTACCTAGAAGACTTGCCCAAACCATGTTCTGCCAGCTTATCATTAAATTTCAGTCTTCTCTTTCCTCTTTCCATTTTTCACCTCCTTTCAAATTTCTGCCCCCTTTTTATAATACTTAGATGCCAATGACACTTTACAGTAATTATTCCCAAGAAAGAAAGAATTTCAGGTCAACAGAAAGGATGCATAGATCCTCTCACCTTTCCAGGTTAACAAATGGCTCTGAACGGATTCAGGAGAGCTCCACTACTTTAGATGCTGTTAATCAGAACTGTTTATAAAATGTACAACAAGTAGATTAAGGTAGTAAAATTTTCTTTAATAAGTATGAAGAGGTAAGTTAGCAATTACGATACAGTGGTCTTAGGTACCGCTAGTTTCCTCTCTAGTTGTTGGGGCCTCTCACAGCCTGCTGCTCATAGTATAAGGTAGAACCTCTCTGAAAAATAGTTTGGCATTAAGTATCAACAGCCTTAAAAAAAAAAAAGTCAGATTCTTTGACTCCGTAATTAATTCTACTTCTAATACCTTTTCCCCGGAGGAAATAGAGACGTACACAAAGATTAGTGCTCAAGAATAGTCATCACAGGTGTAATAAAGAACTGGAAACCAACTGAAGTAACCGAAAGTGGCATGTACCTTGCAGCATCTCTATACAAAGCAGTATTATGCAAGGAACAGCATGTGCAAGGCCTGGGAATCTGACAGTGTGTACGGAATGACAGACAGTTCTCCACAGCCGAGGGGAGGACACGTAGCAAGAAATCAGCCCCGATTTAAGGCTGTGTGTGCCACACTCAGGCAGGATGTTTGGAATTTATCCTAAAGGTAATCAAGAGCCAGTGGTAAATAAACACAGTCATAAACTCTTTGCAGATGTTCCCATAGAGGTGGAGCTCATTTAACCACTACAGAAATCTATGCAGGTCTAAGTGTTGTTTTGACCAAGAGGATATAGCAGACGTAAAACTGCATAAGTTCTGGGTTGCAAGCCTCACAGGACCTCACAGCCTCTACCTTCTCCCTTTTGCACAGTGCCCCGAGATCCCCAGGTGGGAAGCTGTTCTAGTCTACTGGAGGATGAGAGAGGCCGCGTGAAGGAGAGATAAGATGCCCCAGCCAGAAGCCAGCACCAAATGTCAGACACACAAGTAAGACCATCTTGAACCCTGAACCGTCTTGAGCACAGAGATCTTCTAGCAGAACACAAGTCACATCAGTGAGCCCAGGTGAAACCAGCAGAGGGACCACCCAGTTAGACAACCTCCAGAATCCTGAGGAACAACACATCATTGTTGCCTTAAGCCACTAAGTTGTGGGGAAGGTTATTATTCAGCAACAATTAGCTGAGAGTCCCATCTGCAATTTCAGATCTATAATTTTGGAGAAAAATATCTCTGTCAGGAGTGTGATGGGAAGGACGGGGGTGGGGGTTGGATGGCAAAGAAAGCAGGAGGCTATTGCAGGTAAGAAACTGAACTACAGAATTAAATAGAGTTACATATTCTCAAAGTTGTCTGAAAAGGAGAAGACAGATTTAAGAAACATATTAGATGTAGCGTTAATAGACGTTGGTAATCACTTTGGTGTGAGACAAGGAATCAGGATGGCTCCAGGTTTCCAGCCTAAGTATTTATTGAGTTAGGGAATAAGAGATGGACAGTGTAGCCCAAGTATGTAGAGCAGTGCCCTGGCGCATAGTAGGTGATCAGTCAACAGCTGTGCTGAATGAATTTACTCTCACAATAGTATGAGTTAGATACGATTTCTCCCACTTTCCAGATGATGAAACAGAGAAATTAAGGAAACTGCTTAAAGTTACACAGCTAGTAATTAGTGGATCAAGAACCCAAAGATCTTAAGTGTTTAGAGACAAGAGAGGAAGTTAGAGTTTCTGCTGGAATGGCCTCTATTTTCTCTGAGAAGTAAAGAGAAAAGATCAGCTTTTAAAAATAGAAGTCTTTTTTAGAAATGGTGAAGATAAGGTTTACGTATGTGAGTGCATTGTAGAAGACGACAGACACAAGCATGCAAGGACTGACCAATCTCAGGGGTTGGAGCTGCCTGGAATTCCCTTATTTTTCATTGCTGACACAGATTAAGGCATCAAGGATCTGTCAAAAGCCTAATGATATAACAAAAGTCTAGGGTTCTTTATCAGGGTTCTAAATAGAACATCAGGAAAAAAAAGTTTTAATGCCTTTGCCAAATCTAATACTTAAAGCCTACAGATCTTTACAGAGGGTAGAAAAATTGGGGGGAAAGGTAATTAAGTGGTAAAAGCCAGGGGACTTTCTAGGAGCACCTCATGTTGGTTTCCTCACATCATCTTAACATGAAAGATTAAGTGCCTCATCCAACAAATAATAATACAGTGAATACAAGGATACAATCTATTAAGTCAGTAATTTAATTTGACTGAGAAAGTGGTATCAATGCTGACTTTCGCACTTGGACGAGTCAGATGATGAAGAACAGATGGCCCAGGAGAACCCATTCTCAACATCATGAAGATACAAGTATTAAGGGAAAGTATGTGAAAGGGAGGGGTGGGAGGTGGGGACACACACACATATACACGCAAAGTAAGAATTGGATAGATGTGAGGAGAGCATGGAGGGCCAGGCTAGAAATAAAAGGTCAACTTTTTTTTAACTTTGGTAAATCTTCAATTACTTTTTTAAAAGTACTCAATAAGATGCAAAGCATTATTTTGTATAGGCTATTTTGAGATCATACTTACCAGCAGCTGTTTTCAGCAACTGATGTGGATGACTATACTTGAATGAAGGATAACCAAAGAAACACACATATTTTGGCTTCAAAACAGGACCATTACCACATGTCTGAAAGTAGCGAACACAAATCTAGAGATGACAGAACAAAAAAGGAAAAGATTTCATAAATGACCTTCATGGCTTACCTCTAAGTATACATTGAATTTCAAGTCGATTCTATAAGTGAAACATTATCACAACATAAACAATATGAAACTATCCAGGCTGAAATCAGAATATTTGGCATCAGTGACAAATTTACTATTGGTTATTTCTTAAGTATTTCTGGTCAAGAAATCAGAGGAACTCAAACCCCAGCTCACAGAGAGCATTTTGCTGTTCTTCCGTTTAGTAAATTTTGTTAAGTAATTATCTCCTTGAGTCAGATTTGTTCACATGCTTACATGATCCTTGCCTACAATCCCTTATGAAAGTAAAGAAATGTTTAATGATGCATTCTGTACAAACACATAGCTTGTAAGTACACTTGAGTCATTAACAATTTTCTGAAATAACACTATTAACGAATTCAAAAGTGACTGTTAGGATCTAAGGACACAGAAAACCTTGTGTAGTATGTACCCAAAGGTTTTCTTTTCCTTCTTTTTCTTTTAAAATTAAAGTATAGTTGATTTACACTGTTGTGTTAGTTTCAGGTGTACAGCAAAGTGATTCAGTTATATCATATACATTGTTTTCCATTATAGGTTATTACAAGATATTAAATATAGTTCCCTGTGCTATACAGGAGGTCCTTCTTGCTTATTTATTTTATATACACTAATGTGTACACGTTAATTCCAAACTCCTAATTTATCCCTCCCTTGCAAAGGTTTTCTTACCGTCATTTATAGATAACTTTTTAGATTTAGCTATTTTATATAGCATCTTAGTATAACAAAATAGAATATCTTATAGAAATAAGTAAGCCTGAATGTATTTCACTTGACTTACCAAACCTTAAGTATCAGAAAGGCAGAATATTTTATTTTAAAAGTTAACAATTCAATGCTATTAATATCTGATTAGCTACATCACAGTTTTAAACACAAACTACAGACATTTCTAACTTTCTCAGCGTATCTGAGAATACTGGTATGTATTTGAAAATGCTTCATTAATGCAGGAAAGAGTCATTTTTACTTTAAAAAAATTACTGTATCATCAAGTACTTTATACTTTAAAGATGATTAGCCCTTAACATTTAAATTACAATATATATTATAGTCTTGTTATAATACCTATTTATAAACAAGAATTTCATTCTTTTTCTTACAGCAAATACTATAAAAGCAAATACATGGTTTATTGACAAGAATAATACATTTACATTTTTCTGAGATTTTTTTCACTGTAATTTCCAGGCTGTTACTGATTTCTGAAAAACGCCAAGAAAAAGTAAAGACCTCTTTTCCTAAAACACGAATAACCTTCAATCATACACTTTAGCTTTACTTTAAGAGACCATCCTAAAGCAGCTAATGTTTATAATACTTATATTTTACTCTTACTAACATCAACATGCACGCTTTTAACATAAAGTTTAAAATAACTGAAATTGATGGCTTAAAATTTAGCAGACAGTGAAAGAATTCTTTCCCAAACAGTCCCATTTTGTCTGTCCTTTCTGTCTCCTCCAACTCCCACAATCCTGACTCTGGGTCAACAGACTCAAAGGATTCAATTAACCTCTCCTTCATCAGATAGTATAAAATTTAGGGACAGTAAATGAAAGTTTTGACTTAGATAGATTTACCTCAATATTGGTGAAATAGTTCATGTTTTCAAAACCTTTCAAAGGAAATTAAACTACAAGAAGATTCACCTTCAACAATTCAACTTTTATTGAGGAACTATTAATGGGTCAAGGGAGGTACAAACTATCAAACTCAACATGTGCTGAAAGCCTACTATGTGCTGGGTACTTTGAAGGTATTTATAAGCATCTTCTTTATATCCATCATCTTTGTATCTCACAACTACCTTCTGGAATAGGCACACTAGCCCTCTTTAACAATAGAGAAACTAATGATCAGAAAGGTAAAGTAATTTGTCCAAAGTCACACAGCAAAGGAATGGCAAAACTCAGCTCTGAAGCCAAGTAAATTTGACTCTAAAGGCCAGGCTCTTTCTATCACATCACATTGCTATAATTAGGAGAAACAATCCCTGTTTTCAAGGACTTAACAACCTAGTTGAGACAATAAATACACACACACACACACACACACACACACACACTCTCTCTCTCTCTCTCACTCCCATGTGTGGGCATGTGTGCTCCAAGTTTTTCTAATAAGTATAGATAATATAGATAATATTAAAGGAGTTTAAATAGAGAGTTTCCGTTTGTCTTTGTTTCTGTTTTTGTTTTCCCCAGACTGGTTTGACCCAAGAAGACTTCCTGGAGGAAGATTTGAGCTGAGCCTTGCATAATAGGTATAAATAAATAAAGAGCAGAAGTGTACTTTGAAGGCAGAGGAAACAATAAAAAAGAAAAAGGACTGCAGTGAGAACTTGATTAGGATGTCTGCCAGGGCAGTGAGCAGCCTGCGTTGACTTGATCACATCAAAGGGAGCAGTGGGAGGAGCTTGAGCACCAAACTGCAAACTCAGGATAAGGAATGTGAACTCATACATTATGGGTTACTAAAGAAAAAGGATTAAGAAGTTAATACATTTGTATATTTTTAAAAATTAGATTACAACAGGTAAAGCCTGGAGAGAAAGGACAAAGAAAATATTTTGTATCTGAGGCATGAAACGACGGGCTCCTGGCTGAGGTGATTAAAGACTGGAAAAAGACAAAGTGAAATAAGAGCAACAGGCATTATGTGATAAATAGTGACGCAATGTCCATTAAGAGAAGGCTAAAACACATCAGTGAAGCTGCCCGCTAAAACGATAAAAAAGGAAAACAGAAGGATAAAAATGGGATAAAGAGAAAAAAATAATTTTTCAAGTAGGAAAGACTTTTTTCTACAAACAACACAAAAAAACAAGAGATGAAAAGGTTTAACAGGTTCACATAAGGGAAATAATAATAATTCAACGGGCAGTCATGCAGCATACCTAAAGACAGGATGGTTCTGTGCTCAGGAATTCAAAGCTAAATAAGATACAGGATACAGTCTCTGAATTCAAACTGCTTACACTTTACTAAAGGAAGACATAAAAAAATAGAAAAATTCAAGATGATATAGTAAGTCAATTAAGTCAAATGCATGATGCTGCAGGGAAGTACAAACATAAGGCTTTCTTAATAATTTATTGTAGGTGGTAAGACCTCTTGTTGCTTACAATTTTTTATAACAGATGGAAAAGAAACAGAGTATTTTTTCACTGAGTCATTCAACAAATCTGTTGAGTACCTACTACTACATGGCAGGCACCTAGGATTAGAGAACCCAACTGATGCGATTCATTCCTTTATGGAACAACAGTCTATACCGTGAGAGATAAAAACAAGTAAACAGGTGACTACAACAGAGTTGTAACGGGGGAGACACTGTTAAGGAAACACAGAGGGATCCTACCTGGAGAAAGCGAACTTGAAATAAGACCTAAGGGATGAGTAGGAGTAACTGAGAGGGTGAGGTGTGTTGCAGGTCAGGCCATGGGGGAGTAAGGCAAGAGTCTTTAAAGCAGAGGAAATGCATGTGCAAAGGTCTAGAGTTGAGACAGAGAGAGAGAGAGAGCGCAGTATATGTTCAATTAACTGAAATAGTTCAATATACTTCTAGTGTAGTTTAGTGTGCACTAAGGGTGAGGGAAGTGCCAAGAGTGAGGGTTGGGTTGAGGTAGGTTTTAGCAAAGAATGAAGTCTGAGAGACCGGAAAGGTTCAGATCATAAATTGCTTCATAGTCATCTGAATTCTCAACATTTTGCTGAGAACAGTTTTAAGCAAGGAAATGACATTCTCAAATTTGTGTCTTACTTTATAAGATCACTCTGGCTATACTATGGAGAATAGGTTGGAGAGGCAGAAAGTCCAATTTAGGAAGGTCCTGCTCGAGACAGGGTGGGGAACAATGACTACTTTTTTCAATTGAATCAAGAGAAACAGGTTTGAGGGTTTCATCGCAGAGCCTAGAGTCTGACGTGCCTTGGAGGCATTAGAGCAGCCACTGTGAGTTGGTTCCAAACTCCCCTGTGCTAGCCATGGCCACTGTAACACAGTTCTAACCAGTGAGTCTGGATGGTACGGCCCCTCCCTCCTTCCTGCCCTGAACACAAAGTTGTAGCAGCCCTCTTGCGACCCTGAGGGGGGAAGGTCAAATGAATTGTTAAAATGACAACCCTGATAATGATGGGCCACTTAATCAGTGCAGCTGTCATCTAACTTTCAGATGCTTTGTATATACAGGTATTTAACTTCCTACTTATTGGCTGGGTTTATTACTTACAGCAGAAAAACACCTAATATACATGCAACTTGGAGATTTCCAGGGCAGTTAAGATATTCGCGTCTGGAGTAGAGCTGGCTCTAAGATTGGGTAACTTCAGGAATCATCAGCATTTAAGTGGCAACTATGTTCAAAGAAGTGGATGAGGTAACGAACAGGCAGTGTAAAAAGCACACAGAGGGTCAAAGTCAGAACCCTTAGAAACACCAGTATTCAAAAGTTGGGCAGGGAAAGAGGAAGAGCTTTCTTCTACTGGTTATCTCCTACTTACCTTTCACAAATCTCAAATTATACAGTATCTTCTGGGAACTCTCTGACCCTCAAGACCCCTCCTATGTGTCTCTGTAGCTCTATGCACTTAATTCCGTCTTCTCATGCTGTGCTATAATTTTCTGTTTATGGTCTACCCCTGTCTCTCTCCCCTGTGCTCCACCACAGGGCCGTAATTAAATCTCAGAGGGCAGAGATCAGCGCCTGACTTACATTTGCATCCCCAGTTCCTACCACAGTACCTGGTACATGGCAGACTCTTGAAAAGGTTTGTAAGATCAGAGGTCGAACACTGAAGGAAAATCCGGAAGAGGGGACCCAGTTAGAAAAACGCTAGACAAATAGCATGAAACACTGATTACTGGGATGTGACTTGTTTGGTGCTAAAGGACTGTGTGAAAGGGGAGAAATGCAGGGCAGATGGTGATTAAAAAGGTAGAAAGACATAAGTGATAAGTATAGATCCAAAGAACAAAGCTGGAGTCTCTCAAATGCTCGGAGGCCAAGAATCTACAGTGTTGTGTTCTGCCTGATCAGTCTCTTTCTCTAGACTGCAGATTCCTCGAGGGCAGGGGTCGTATTATCAGTGTCCGGAACAAAGAGGTGCTCAATAAATGCTGAATGAATACGGGATATCTCTGTATCCCTAGTGCCTATCACAATGTCGGGTACCCAGATGATGCTCAATGAAAGGCTAGCGGGCGAAAGGCTAGCTGGACTTCGGGGTACAGATGGAGCGGTAGAGTGTCAGGTCACAACAGAAACGCGTCCAAGTAAGGAAAGGAGAGGGGGTGGTGGGTCTGCAGACGGGTTGGCTCGCCACCGTCGCTGCCCTTCGTTTTGCAGGCATCCCTCCACCTCTCCATCACGCGAGCCCTGCACGCGAGGCACTCGGAGGACAAAGTAACACACCTCTCCGGGCTGACTCCGGATAAATCAGTTCTTCCCGACCTCAGATCTGCCCAACCTGCTTACCAGCCGTCCGGTATTCCAACTACAGGTAGTCAGCACACGCGCCGCAGCCATCTTACTCCGGAAATGACAGCTGCTCGGCTGGGGGAAGGCTGCCTTGGCGGGGGGAGCTACTGGGAGCCGGGAAACGCGCCTCCCCCGAGCGGCCACTGGACGGCGGAGGAACAGCCTCCCACCCCCCACAACAGCCAACCAGGGAGCGGGGCGGGGCTGGGGCGCGCCCTCGGGGGCGGGGCAAGTAGGGCGGAGGGCAGCCCAAGTTTAATTTCAGGGACAAAGTGGGTAAGGCACTGCTGTGTGAGTACGTGTGCGCCAGCGACCTTTCCAATCCACGAAACGGGGGAAATAGGGTTAAGGAAACATAAAGGAAGAACACTTACCCGGAGAAATGTATGTTGAAGTAAAATCTGAGGGATAAGTAGGGGGAAAAAACACCCTTCCTTGAGCCTGAATTATAACCACCCTGATTACAGAAAACGGGACATTTCTATACTTTGTAGCAAGACTGTACCGCTAGGGGAGTCAAAGCTATACTGGAATACTTCCTAATGACTGGCATTTCCTACCAGCATTGATTGTTCTTGGTTACCGAAATTGGCTTTTCGATTTTTTTTTTCTTGAAAGATGAACAAGATTATCACAATGCCTAAGATAAGCGTCATCAACAGTACCTTTCTTTCTCTGAGGATATTGTCAGATGTAGCAGCCCAGAATATGCAATATATATCTCAGACATTACCTTGATTTATTTGCCTCTTGGAGAAATGCCCGGGATATTTGTCTGTTCTTGCCTCATGTATGGGAATGGAAATCTGTACAGGTGTCTAAAAAATTATGGAGAAAAAAACAGAACAAAGACAAAAATCAGATTAGTGACTATAAAACAAAATTTCAGGTACTTCACAAATGCACTAATATTACTTAAACTCACACTTCTTATTTTGCCTTATTTGCTTTTCAGTGTATTTCACACACACACAAACTACTGTAAGCCATAAATCTAAATCATTACCTTTACAAGAAAATCTGGGATAGTCAAAGAGCTTTGATTTTTAAAAATTTTCCCACTAACAAAACATTTTCTAGGTACTATTAATATATTTGATAATAACTACATGCATGTGTTTGTATAAAAAGATAAAAGTAGCCGTGCCTTTGAAGTGAATAATTTTTCTTCCTAGGGCCCCTATACCACCTTCTTCCTCTTAACTTTCCCTTTAACTCTACCTTCTCCTAAGAAAATATCTAGTTTATTTCTTTTCTGTGTTTATCTCCTAGGAAAATATCTAGTTTATTTCTTTTTACCTCAGTGGATTACTGCTTCCAAATTCAGTATTATATGTTTCCTTATCTTCCAACATCAAGAAATATGCCATCTATTCACTACTTAATCCTTTCACTTGAGCTCAAAGGAACCAAACAACCCATTTCTTCTCTTCTTAAAAAATTAATAAAATGATTGATTATGACCTGGCAATTCCACTCCTAGGTATCTATCCAGGGAAAATAAAAACATATGTCCACACACAGACTAGTACCAGAATGAGCATAACAGCCTTATTCATATTAATTCCAAACTAGAAACAGCCCAAATGTCCTTCAATATGTGAAGGAATAAACAGAACGTGGTGTATTCATAATGGAATATTATTCATCAGTAATAATGACTGAAATACTGATACATGCTTTAACATGAGTGAACCTCAAAAATATTATGCTAAGAAAAAAAGCTAGATCCAAAAAGCCTGATTGCACCTATATGAAATGCTCAAAGAAGGCAAATCTACAGAGACAGAAAGCAGATTAGTGGTTGCTTGGCACTGGGGGTAGGAATGCGGAGTGACTGTAAAGGGCAAGAGAAAGGTTTTTGCAGGACTGGGAATTTCCCATTACCAGATTGTGGCGATGGCTACATAACTCTGTAAATTTACTAAAAATCATTGAATTGTACACTTAAAACAGGTGAACTTTATGGTATGTATATCTCAACAAACCTGTTAAAAATTGTATTATATGGTACTATACAAAAGAATAATGTAACATACAGATGAGTCACATGATAACAAAAACCTTGAACTCATCATCACTCAGTTTAAGAAATAGAACCTTTCCTATGCTGGTGAAGGTCATGGTCTGCTTCTCCTTTTAACCCTCCCTCTCCCCTTGAGACAACCATTATACTAAATAGTGTGTTTGTTGTTCATTTGTTTCCTTTAAAATTTACTATATAGGTGGATCCCCTGACAATATAGTTTACTTTTGCTTGTTTTGAGTCTGATAAAAATGGTATCAAGTTGTGTATCTTTATGCAAGTAGCTTTTATGATGATAGCACAATTTATCTATTCTGTATTCAGTGAACATTTGTGTTGTTTCCACTTCTTTCCTATTGCCATCATTGCTGCTATGAACATTCCTGATAATTCCTTTTAATGCAGGTGTAAGTTTCTTTAAGGCAGTGCTTTTCAGACTGTAATGAGCACTCGTATCAACTAATCCAAGGTCATGGAGATTTACATCTATATTTTTTTCTAAGAGTTTTATAGTTATAGCTCTTACATTTAGGGCTTTGATCCACTTTGATTTAAATTTTTTTAATATGGTGTAAGATATTCAAGTCTTTAAAACATCTTTTTGTGTATAGTGTGAGACAGAAATCCAATTTCATGTCTTCCTTATGATTAACCTATTGTTCAACACCATAAATTGAAGACATCCTCTTTTCCCACCGATCTGCCATCTCCTCTGTCACAGCAATATGTTTAAGGGCTCTAAGTAATCTATTTATCACTGAACCAATTTCACATTATTTTAATTTTAGCTTCATAGAAATACTAGGTTTCGTGAGGACAAGTACCCTCCACCTCATTCTTTTAAAGTTATTCTTGCCCTTTTGTTTTTTCATATAAATTTTAGTATGACCATTTTAACAATATTGATTCTTCCAATCCAGGAGCATGGGATATCTTTCCATTTTTTAAAGTCTTCTTTAATTTCCATAATCAATGTTTCATAGTTCTCCATGTATAAGTCTTTCATCTCCTTGGTTAGGTTTATTTCTGGGTCATATAAATTTTAGAATTGGCTTGTCAGGCTCCTTAAAAGAAGTCCTGGTGGGCATTTAATTGGAATTTCATTGAAACTATATTTTCAATAATATATCTAAAGATTCTTTGGGGTTTTCTATGTAGGTAATCATATCACCTGTGAATAATGATGGTTTTTTTTTTTGCCTGTCCAATTTTATGTCTTTCATCTCTTTCTTGTAAAATCTGGCTAGACTTCCATCATCTGTTGAAAAGAAGCCAAAACTGTGGGCATTCTTACCTTGTTACTGCTTTTAAAAGGAAGATGACTAATGTTTTACTGTTACATACTGTTATTAAGAATGAAATTTGCTGTAGGGTTTTCCAGATGTCCTTAACCAGGTTAAGGGAGTTTACATTTATTCTTAGTTTTGTTTGATTTTGTTTTTATCACATGTAGACCTTGATTTTTTTTCAAATGCTTTTTCCTCATCTATTAATGTGAACTTAGGTTTTTGGTATATCCTCATAACATTTTTCTGATGTTAGAATAATATTCAATCCCAATTTGGTCATATTGTATAGCATTTTATAAACATTCTTGGATTCATTTGTTTATATCTTGATTGATCCCAGTGCATCTAAATTCATAAAGTTGGTCTATAATTTTTCTTCCCCCTGTCATCTTTGTCTGGTTTTTGTATCAAAGATTGAAATAACTATTTGCATTACCAGAATTTTCTCTGTTACAAAAGTGGTAGAACATTGGGAGTAGGAGACAATGATGTTATCATCAGACCCCTGAGGTTTCTATCCCAGTTTTCTAGTTAACAACTGTGTGGCCTTGTAGCAAAATTGTTTAACACATGCAGCTATAAATCAGTAAAAACAGTACATACTTCAGCAGGTCATGAATCCATGCAGCAGCTAAGTGCTTGATAAGTGTTGGCTGTTATTATTACACTTCGTCATATTCTAATTGCTGCTCCCCTTTACTTAACTAGAAGTATAGTACATTATTATTATTATTATTATTATTATTATTATTATTATTATTATTATTATTATTATTATTATTATGAAGAATGACATTATAATTGATTACTTCTCAGTCTTTCCTATATACTTCCAATCACTTCAGGGCAGAAACTACCTTGCTCTTCTTTGTATACCTAGAGGCTTGCATATTATTTGGTACTGAGTGTTACGAATTGATCCACAAGCAGAATCAAGAAGTTGGCTGTTGTTCCTGGCGCGCGCGCACACACACACACACACACACACCCCGGGGAGGAATGAGAAGGTCATGCATTGATGAACGCACCAGGGCACACATATTTCAAGGTAAAGGCTGCAAAGAAGGCGAAGAGAACGTGGTCGGTGCACCGGAGGGACCTTTCTTACACCTTCAGCTCTAAAAGTCTCCAGTTCTGGGTATGGCAGGATCCTCAGGGAGACAGAGATATACACAGATGTTTGCACAAGCCTGCGGGACAACTGGAGGATCAGTGGCTTCCTGCAATCTGCGCGTTTTGCTGAGTTCAGGGCAGAAGTCCTCCAGGGACACGTTTCCTACCGTGCTGCAGAGCATCTCCCCTACTGCCATCCCATCTCGCCGAAAGGTTCCGATTTGCGGGAATTTTCTGGGCGCCGCCTCTTTAAGCGCCGCGCCGCGCGGCGCGCACGCGCACGCGCACTGGCTGCGGCCGCCTGGAACCCGGCG